GTTTAAGCTAGTGTTAGAGAGTTTTAGGCCAGCGTTGGATGATTTTCTCCCTGTTTGATGGTTTTAGCACAGTGTTACATGTCTACTACCTAGGCCTATCTCATGAAATAGGCTGAAAGTTTAAAGCCTAAACACACACTGCAAAGGCCTTTCAGCAGGGAATCCTCAGTGACAATGCAGGTTTATGAATCTGCACCATTAATTGTCCAAATGAACATCATTACTAAGCCATTAATCGTTCAAATAAATCAATCAGATTGTATGACGCAGGTGTTGTGTGTGTGCAGGGCTGTTGGGATTAAAGCTGTTTGAACTGGATTGAGGCAGATTGAACCGCTTCTCTTTTCACCCCTCTGTTCTGAAAGCTGAGCCGGACCTGGGAGAGAAAAGCCCTGCTTATGTAACAGTAGCAGCCAATAACAGTTTTCTAGAGGGGGTGAAAGAAAAGAGCAAACACACACACTCACACACACACACTCATTATCGCACTGTTAGATAGAGAGGAAGAATAAGCCAGTGGTGTTCTCAGTGAAGGTTAAGTTGTTGTTGTTGTTATTGTGTTTTTTTTTTACCAACAAGTAATATGCAGCCACCTTTCAACGAAACCTCTTAAACTATAAGGGTCTGCATGTCATCCACACTTCAATTCCTTCAGCCAATTAAAGAAGGTAATTCACTCTGTAAGTATTACTTAGCAGGCTGTAAAAGCTACAGAAGCTGCAGATTCATACTGGATTAAAATCACAGATCTAATTGAGAATCACTCAAATTACAACACTTCCCCAGATTAAACTAATCCAACTCCAATAGGGCTTAAATTTATAGTAGCTATTATGCAATTCATGATAGTTACTAATTAATTCATAAGATCAATAACAGAATAAGAAATTTAAGGGAATAACTAGAAATCTCATTACACATTTAACAATTTAACTCCTTAAACTACACGCTTATGCTTCAGTTATTAGCCTTAAAGAGCCTTATCATGCTAAACTGAATTTTTCTACATCAAGAGTTTGATGTAATATGTAAACATTGTTTCCAACTGTATCATTCACTGCCCAGAACATACAGTCCATATATGGAAATTAAGCTGAAAACACCACATTGATTGATTAAACTAATTGATCTTGTGATGTCACATAAACCAGCATCAGTTTAGCCCCACCTATTCACACTGAAGTTATAAGGAGTGCTTTTTGAATGAAGAAGAATACAGGCCAGCCAATGAGAACAGAGCTCATTTACATATAACATTTGTTGTCTTAAAGGCAATGCAACAAAAACAGCCTGTTTTATTCTTTGGGATAATTTTAATTAAGTATTATTTAATATTAGGAATATGACAGTGTAAACAAATGGGAACTGTTAATATTCTACATTAAACATTGCAACTACTCCTTCAGTGTGTCAAAGGTAGAGGTGTGTGTGTGTGGGTGTGAGTGTGGGTGTGTGTGCGTGTGTGTGTGTGTGTGTGCGTGTGTGTGTGTGTGTGTGTGTGGGTGTGTGTAAAGAAATATGGTCTGTTTTGTAGGAAATTGTATATACAGGATACTGTAAACTATCTTTAACAAACACTCTGAGGCACAGCTCCATATACATTTCTGCACTTCCCTTCATGCTGTTTTATAAACAGCATGAGAAATATTCCTGTAAGAAACTGAGAAAAAGCTCAGAAAACAAGACAGTTAAATCATATTTACATTTATGGGCTGATAGATAAAACACATTTAGATTTATTCACTAAACACTAAAAATTACTCAGTAACTACTGTAGATTATTTTAGTGGCGAAGAGTACTGAATTATTCAGTAGCTACTATAAATTCTACAGTATAAATACAGTACAATACAGTATAATCAATACACTACAATAAAGTTGCAGTTACAAATGTGTAGCATTTGGCAGCTACTATTAATTATTCAATAATTACTATGAATTATTTTGTAACTATTATGAATTATTTAATAACTACTATGAATTATTCAGTAGCTACTATTAATTATTCAATAACTCATCTGAATTATTTAATTAGTACTATAAATTATTCAAAGGACTATGAATTATTTAGTAACTGCTATGAATTATTCAATAAATACTGTAAATTATTCAAAGGACTATGATTTCTTCAGTAACTACTATGAATTATTTAATAACCAATATGAATTATTCAATAACTGCTATAAATTATTCAGTACCCACTATGAATAATTCACTAACTACTATGAATTAGTCAGTATCTACTATGAATTATTCAACAACTACTATGAATTATTCAGTAACTACTATAAATAATTAAGTAACCAATATATGCTAATTTAAATGTTTATTTTATTTGCTTGAAAAGTCACACTGTTTGGATAGATTGGGTGTGGTGTGTTTCAACATGTAATCCAGATAACGTTAGCATGCTGGCAATTCATTGTCATCTCTAACCTGCCTAGGTTGGTTAGCTACAACAACACAGTCCAGCTCAGTAGTGTAATGTTTTAAACTGGAAATCTAATGTTGTAAAAAATGATCACTACAGTTTCTCATTAGGTTGAATGAATAACTGGCTCTAAATGTCGGTGTGGTGATATAAACTGAGGCTGTTCTACAGTTTCTCATTAGGTCGAATGAATAACTGGCTCTAAATGTAGGTATTGTGATATAAACTGAGGCTGTTCTACAGTTTCTTATTAGGTTAAATGAATAACTTGTTCTAAATGTAGGTATTGTGATATAAACTGAGTCTGTTCTACAGTTTCTGATTAGGTTGAATGAATAACTGACTCTAAATGTAGGTATTGTGATATAAACTGAGTCTGTTCTACAGTTTCTTATTAGGTTAAATGAATAACTTGTTCTAAATGTAGGTATTGTGATATATACTGAGTCTGTTCTACAGTTTCTGATTAGGTTGAATGAATAACTGGCTCTAAATGTAGGTATTGTGATATAAACTGAGGCTGTTCTACAGTTTCTTATTAGGTTAAATGAATAACTTGTTCTAAATGTAGGTATTGTGATATAAACTGAGTCTGTTCTACAGTTTCTGATTAGGTTAAATGAATAACTTGTTCTAAATGTAGGTATTGTGATATAAACTGAGTCTGTTCTACAGTTTCTGATTAGGTTGAATGAATAACTGGCTCTAAATGTAGGTATTGTGATATAAACTGAGTCTGTTCTACAGTTTCTTATTAGGTTAAATGAATAACTTGTTCTAAATGTAGGTATTGTGATATAAACTGAGTCTGTTCTACAGTTTCTGATTAGGTTGAATGAATAACTGACTCTAAATGTAGGCATTGTGATATAAACTGAGTCTGTTCTACAGTTTCTCATTAGGTTGAATGAATAACTGACTCTAAATGTAGGTATTGTGATATAAACTGAGGCTGTTCTACAGTTTCTCATTAGGTTGAATGAATAACTGACTCTAAATGTAGGTATTGTGATATAAACTGAGTCTGTTCTACAGTTTCTCATTAGGTTGAATGAATAACTGGCTATGAATGTAGGTATTGTGATATAAACTGAGTCTGTTCTACAGTTTCTTATTAGGTTGAATGAATAACTGACTCTAAATGTAGGCATTGTGATATAAACTGAGTCTGCTCTACAGTTTCTCATTAGGTTGAATGAATAACTGGCTCTGAATGTAGGTATTGTGATATAAACTGAGTCTGTTCAACAGTTTCTTTATAGGTTGAATGGGAATTTTACAAGCTTGTCTAACCTCACAGCAGTAGCTATAAAAGAACACCTTTGTGGGAGGGGCATGGTGAGGTCTCTGGAATAAATTAATTATTTAAAATAGGCGGAAAATGTTTCCAGAGCTATCTTAGGGATAATGCCAAATGTATCCCTTTTTCCATGTTCTGGATGGTGAATTACTACAAAGTAACGACTGAGATATAATATAAGAGGAATACAGGATAAATATGAAATAAATACAGGATGAATATGAAATGAATGCAAAATGAATATGGGATATGCATGAGATGAATATGAGGGCACTGTGTTCATCTGATTGCTCATTTAAATCTGACTGATAAGAGATTTAATCTCCCGACCACATAGAGGCCCTCAGAATGAGCTGATTTGCATGCTTACTGCATTGCCATTATTATTTCGTAATGATTTTGTATAGCTGCTCTCACACATACAAATACAGATTCTCCCCCAGCCACTCACAATCACTTTATATAATATCAATGCGATTTTTATTTATTGATTCTAGTGTTATACTGGCCACAGACAATTCCACAGGAGCCTCAACAGCTCAATCTAATATCAGATGTCTGACTGTTCAATGATTCACTCTTTACCTTATTACAGCTTCCATTCTTTTCAGGAGACTCACTTTCAGTTCCTCAAAGAAATCTGCAGACACGCCTCCAAAGTTCAGTCTTAGAAGTTGGTTGATGATTTTCTGAAGTAATCAAACCCATTCAGTGATGTTGAGGTCTGGACTCTGGGGTGGTCAGTCCATTGTTCAGCTTCTTTGTTTGATGTGTCCGTCTCCTTTTCTCAGTGAGGACCTCTTAAACAGCTACACGTCCTTTCAGACCCACAGCGCTGAGTTGTCTTCTCACCGTGGAAAGATGGACAGAAACACCTGTGGATGTTTTTAGATCTGGAGCAGCTTGATTTTCTCCTCTCTCTCAGAGATGAAAGCTTCAAGTGCTGTTTATCTGATGAGGACAGTTTTGGTGTCTACCAGGTCTTCCAGGTGGTTGTTAGGAGTCTCATTTTCTCTGTAGATTTAAATATTTTTTTGAACTCCAGTTTTACTTATTTTCCTTTGACTTTTTCCTTCTTTATGCAAGTGGATTATTTTACATCTGATCTCCTCAGAAATATCTCCAGAAAAATGGCTGGCTGTTTTCACTGGAAATTTAATAAATAAAGGGGGAATCTGTGACTGCACAGCCCTGTACGTGTGTCTGTGTGTGTGTGTGCGTGTGTGTGTGTGTGTGCGTGTGTGGTGCGCTCAGTGTGGCACGCCTAGGGGCCCAGGCTAGACCTGAAAAACCAGCCGCCTCCTTCTCTCCCCGTCACTGCGGCACAGAGCCACACAGACACACACACCTGTCGGCCAGGTAGACACACACCTGAGCCGCGCTTCTTCCACACACCTCTGCCTGGTGAACACGCTAAAGAGGAATCTGACATTCTGCTCTTCTTTGGATTTTTTTTAACTAAACAGCTGCTCTTCAGAGTGTGAGTGTGGACTATGCACTCCTCTGTGGACTGAGTTTGGATTAGCTCACTCTCCTGGGAGAGATATTCTACGAGCAGGTGTAATCGCACAGGTGAGTTCAGCTGAAAATCACTGCTGTGTGTGTGTGTATGCATGTGTTTTTGTTTTTATACATGTTCAGGTCTGACATGTTCTGAGTGTCTAGGAAAGGCAGAGAAAAACCTCCAAGAAGGTCAAGACTTTTTCACAAATGATCCATGTTTCAAAATCATATATAGATAGATGGTAAAATCATATATAGATAGATGGTTAAAAAAATGTTTTATTGATTTTTTAAGTGAATGCTTCCTTTTCAGGTAACAAATGTAAATATGTAATTGTTATATGTATATATATATATAGTATACCATATTATACTATATAATACTAGTATAGTATAGTGTATATAATTATTTATATATTGAAGTCTCTTCTCTGTATAGCACTTATTTTCATTTAGAAAATCAATAAAACCTGTCATTTCACCAATTTACCCAAACATTTGCATACATCTGTAGGTATCTTTGTTATTGTATCATTATACACTTTATATTTCATACATATGAGGCAAATATATGACCCAGTGTCCTGACAAGGTATAAAAACAAGTCTGTGTGAGTGTGTGAGTGTGTGAAAGTGTGCGGTGGTGGATGTGAATAGCTAGCATTCCTATACACTGACACTGGCCAAATTGTATTCAGTCTCCACCTGATTCTCCAGGTAAGCACATTTTCTATTGTCTTTTCTCTCTGACACACTGAGCTGCAGCTGTGGAAACCGTGTCTGTCAGACGCTGAAAAACGCTGATCATCCCTGCGTTGATCATTTTACTGTGTGTTTCAGGAGAAGAGAGTGTGGGCACACTAAACTAATAGCTCAACAAACTAGTGACAAGGTGTGTCTTGTTTTGTGACATTTGGGCAATTCTAGCTTAGTGCTAAAATGTATTTACTTCACGTAAGATGAACAGAATAATCTGTATTATCTGTATAATATCTTCAGATTTGTAAAGATTAAATGTTTTTGTTCATAAAGGTTTTTGCTCTATTTAGAAGTAACTGAGATTAAATGTGGCCTTAGGTTGCTAAGTTCCACAGAGGCCTTTGAAAAATTGGAAAAGGTACAGACTAATGTTTGTTTTGCAGTCATAGACCCTAGATTAAACTTTCAATGATAACATTCTCTTAGCTTAGTCTTTGGCTTGTAGAATTAGCATTACATTTTTTCCTAGCCTGCTAATCTGTTTTTTGGCATTTTGAGACCTGATTGGAGTTTAACTGTTGTGGCAGTCTTGAAACTATTGGTTTACAACAATCTTTGTACTATGATGCCTTGAAATCCCTGAACTCCTCACACTCTCTGGTTGCTAAGCTGCTATTAAAGTTAAGGCTAACAATGTTCATGCTAGCTACAATGCTTGGGGAAGCTAAATTGTTTTGTGTGAAGTGTATATAAAGTTTGGGGAAGAACATCTTGCTTCCTCTTAATCCCAGTTCATATGAACATGGCCTGAATAGCAGACAGAGTGTCACCATCCAGTTTCCTGAAACTGTGGTAAAAAATGGTAAGTGATTATCACATTAGCACAGTAGTGTCCAGAATATCATTTTTGTGGGCCGTCCATGTCTGCTGGGATCCTGTTTACTCTTAATAATAAATAGGTGTGCTGCACTAATCCCCCAAAGGAAATGTAGGGAGTTGTTTTGATGTTGTTCTATTAAGGTACGATATATTCACATGATTTTATCAGCAAATGTTGAAGCCATTTACATTTCTCTCTTTTTGAGACAAAGCTTTGAGTAGAGCAGTCTAGTTTGATGATGGATGGAAACTGAAATTTAGTACCAGAAGGCTCAGATGAGAAGAATCAGAGCACTTTAGAAACGCCCTTTGAACATTCCCTACAATACGAAGTCTAAAGTATGTGCTATATGGCTCTGAAACTTCGGTAGAAAGATTAGCCGCTAGTGGGAGGTGTGTCTGCTGTAGACCCTAATGAATTGGGTTATTGTCTGAGCTGGGGCAATTGTAGGTAGGAGGGGTTGGTCTGGGGTCCTTCATGACTGTTATTGGGCTAAGAGTTGAAGCGTTGACGTGATAGGATGGTGCCTCACCTGGTGGAAAATTGCTGAGGACACCTGTGCTCTAATGAGTTCACCCAGCTGGAGATTTACTGGTTAAATATTGACCACATCAACCAGCCGGAACTTCATTCAAATCAATATTGTGTGTGTGCATCTGACAGTGACTTCATTTGAGAGCAGCTCTCAAACAGGAACTCATGTAAAACACATTTGCTGCATACACAAGAGAAAGAAAGAAGTAAAAGTGAGATGGATGAACAGCAGTCTGTGAAATGTGACATTTACAGGCTACACAGCAGAAGTTTCCCACACGGGTTCTGCTTCTAGACTCAGGCTAAACAAACGGTTCAGCTGCAACGGCTAATATTACTCAAAACAAATGAGAACAAATAGCCGCTAGTTAGCCTTGTTCAAATGATGCTAACTGTGAGCTATTAGCTTCTATCAGCATTGGTAACTATGGTGAGGTAACTGCAGTGAGATTTTCAATTTTGCCTTCACAGCTGCTGTTAAACTGCTTAGAACAGTAATTTGAACCACAGCTCATAGTCATTAGCATGTAGCTTTGAAGCCTGTTTTAAACCAGAAGCAATGCAGTGACAAACAAAGCCGTACCCAAGTGACAAGTAAAGTGGGAAGTCAGAACTCAGCGTCATTTTCAACCTCTAAAAAATGGGAAAAACAAAAATGTCTCCATTAAAGCAAGTGTTGTTAGCAGCAAGCTAGCCAGCTAATGTTAGTAATATAAGTGCTAACTAATATTCATGATGTACATGCTTTCTCAAAACTTACCTTTCTGGTGAATTGCAGATTTACTATGCCTGTATGTTGATTGATGTAAAACAAATATATTTTAAAAATAGAGATGTGGTTCCTTATTAATATTGACTGTGAGAGCAGCCGTCATGCTGAGCATCCTGGCTTTACGAGGAGAAATTCCCAGCTGAGGGGGGGGGTTCTTTGATTTTCCTAGTCGGAAGTGGTTTGGTTTGGTAGTGGTTTGACCAGCTGATTCTAAAAGGGATCTAAAGGTGTTCTTTAAACTAGTGGTCTCCGTTGGAAACCATTAAGCCAAATCCCATTAGAAAAAGAGCCAGTCAGCTTGCTGGTTATGCTGCATGCAAGCTAACCTGGTTATGCTGCTAGTGAGCTTGCCTCATTGTGAAGACCTGCGCAAGTGCAGTAGTCAGAACAACAACAAAAAACCATGATTTTGTGCATTATCTGAACAAAAATAAAACAAACGATTTGACGTTTTTATTGGATTTTATCAGTGATTTCAAATATGTTTTTGAAATGATAATTTTACCTCTAGTTTTAAGTATTTTGGTCTCTTCTTATTTAGCGAGAGAGAAGTCTTGTCTGGCATGGCTGGAAATAACTGCCCTGTGGCAGTGCAAAGATGGCTGCTGAGTGGACAGACTTTCCTATAAGGACTTTGACACCACTCACTCTGTTCACTCTATATAAAAGATAGAGCAGTGGAGATACAGCCTGTGTCTTCTCAGTGGGTTACAAGCCGATCAGCAATACCATGCAGAAAAATTAAAAATAGTCGCTTGCATGTTTGTTAGTGTAGATCGCTCATTCCCTGCCATGAGATTTCACTGCACAGCATGAACGCTTAAGAAAAGACCCAAAATGTGAGAGTTGGCAACCTCATTTGTATTTGCTGAGTGTGTTTACATGCACTTAATAATCCGATAACTGCAGAAAAATCAGATTTTGTCAGTAACTGGTTCACAGCATTTACATACACTTGGGTAATCAGATAATAGGAAAACTCTGTGTCTATATGAGTCAGTGAGGCAGTAATCAGATTTCTGCTTTGCAACCAACAGAATAAGATGTAATGTAAGCATAACATACAAATCAAATTTCATGCAGTGGCTTTTTTTTTTGAAAAACATCAAGTAACTTTATCGGAATCCTGTATTTTGTCAAGCAAGTATTTGGTTTCAGCTTCATTACAAAAATACTGTGTTGCATCTCATGGGTGTTGTGTTAAATTCTGCTGCTGTTTCTGGGACAGCGCTCTGTTTTCACTCATGCACAGACTGAGCGAATCAAAAGAAATCAGAGTAAGAGTAAAAATTTCTGAGCTCAAATCCAGCTCTCTTTATCAGATTCCTTAATCAGATTCTAGACCTTATTCCAATCTAAGAATTCAGGATATTTTCTTTACACAGTCACTTAAAGATCAAATCTGGCATTGATTTGATGTTTATTATACAAAACAAACAACATATATTTGTGAATTCTGTTTTCACAATAAAGCACTGATCGATTGGACAATAACATTTTTTGAAAGTAGCCTAATGGTAGGCTAATAGTAATTAATGACAGATAGCTAGCTAAGCTAGCTAGCTACATAACCTCAACTTAAAATCTAACTTAAATCTTGCATTCCTTTGGTGCTTATAAGACAAGATAAACAACATATAATTTTAAGTCCTATTTTCACAGTAGAGCACTTACCAGTTGGACAATAAGTATTTTTGAAGGTAGCCTAATGCTAGCTAATGATGAACAACTAGCTAGCTGTAGCTAATTAGCCAGCTAGATAGCCTTTTGACTAACAATATTCTGGAATAAATTTGGCGCTTGTTACACAATACAAACAACATAGATGTCTGAGTATCATTTTCATGATAGAGTACTTACCTTTTTTGAAAGTAGCCTTAATTCTAGCTGGTGATGGGCAGCTAGCTAAACTAGCTAGCCAACAAAAAAAAGCTCAAGCTAGTTTGTTTAACTTATTAATGTTTTTACAAAAGAATCTTGCAGCTGTCCAGCACTAAAAGTTAACAGTGGAATAACTTTATGTAATCAAGGTTAATTCTAAGTAAAATGAAAAATTGATGCACATACTAGACTTTTTTTCACCCTTCTTTCTTGTTCTTCATGGGTGTGTAGAACTGTGAACCAACAGTGCAATAAACTTTAGAGTTCTGCATCCAGGCTGGGTGTGTTTATAGTTTATCCAGGG